AAAAAAAATCATAACACTGTGAATGAGGGGGAGTGCAGAGTGGGGACAGTTTGTTTTTATTGTTGTTGTTTGTTTTTATAGATTCATGGCCACAGCTTCTTCTAGACCAATGTGTCCCTAGTCAGTTCCCTCACCCATCTTCCACAGTGGCCATTTCAAACCTTCTCAGCCTCCTAACCATCAACTTCCTACTTCAGAAAGTAAACGGACATCCCCTCCAAAGTAAGCCCTTAACTTCTTGCCACCAAATCTGCAGTTTATCCTTTGCTCCTTTTTATCAACATTTAACTGTGCTTGGTCACCCCCAATCTGAAAATGCACAATTACTCAAAATTCTCCCTCTTAAACCACATATCTCTTCTTCCTACAAATATCTTGCAAGAGTTGCCTACATTTGCTATCTTTATTTTCCCATCTTCCACTTAGTCTTTAACTTACGCCAATATGTCTCCACTTCTTGCCTGTAAATACTCTCTCATTAAGGTCTACTATGGTCATTGTATTATTAACTCTAATAGAATTTTCCAGGTTCTCAAACTTGACTAGATAGCATTTGGCACTATTGGCCACTTGCTCTTCTTAAACTACTTTCAGGACAGCCTGTCTCCTTGTTTTCCTTCTACTTCCTTGGTAATTCCTTTTCACTTTCTAGGCTCCTCTTTGTCCATCCCTTAAATACTGGTGCTCTTTAGGAATTTGGCATGATCTCTCGTCTTCTCCCTGTACATTAAAAAAATCATTTTATTGGGGGCTCTTATAACAATCCGTACATCAATTGTATCAAGCACATTTATACATAAGTTGCCATCATCATTTCCAAAACATTTTCTTTCTATTTGAGCTCTTGGTATCAGCTCCTCTTTTTTCCCCTCCCTCCACCACCCTCCCACTCTTGTGAACCCTTGATAATTTATAAATTATTTTTATTTTCATATTTTATACCATCCCCTGTCTCCCTTCACCCACGTGTCTGTTCCCCCTGTACATTCTGCTTCGTTTATCTCATTTGCTCTCGGTGGCTTCATTCATTTATTGGCTCTTTGCTGATGTCTCCCAAATTAATACCTCATGTCTAGATATTTTTCCTGACTCATACATTCAATTTGCTACAAGATAGTTCGACCTGAATATCCCAGAGACACCTCAAACCTCAGCTTTTCCACAATTCAACTTATCCTCTTCCATCTGTTTGTCTTTTTTTTTCTTTCTACCAATTTAGGGCCCCAGGACCAATGATCATTAGCAGCCCAGGTAACAAAAATTATGCTTACGAAATCTCTTGATGTTGATTCTTCACATAGAGCGATAGAGATGCCCTACGTGTGCCACCTAATGACAGAAGCCCTTCTGTTTGTCCTTTTTACCTTACCTTTGTGAGTGTCCCCAAAGCAGAAACCTCCTCACTCTTTTCTTTTCTCCACCTCTTTTGCAATCACCAAATCCTGCTATTTCTACCACATGCATATTTCCCAAATCTATTTACATAGACTCTTGTCCATATCTGCTGCCACTATCCTACTTAAGACCCATACCATTTCTAACTAGCTTTCTATGCTGTAGCCAGTGTGATCTTTTGAAAAGGTAAATCAAATACTCTTATGTCTAGAACCTTTCAATGAGTCCCCATTGGCTCAAAAGGAAACCTACATTCCTTAACAGGGTTGTTGAGCCTCTGAGTCTAAACCATGTTTCAGTCCATGTCTTAGCCAAAGCTGAAAATTTTAAACTGTTCCTCCAAGTATCTGCATAGTCAATTTGCCTCTGCCTGAAACCCTCTCCACCTCTCCCCAAATACACTTCATTTCTTTCAGCTAGTAGCTCATTCAGTAAATGTTTTTTGAGCATATACTATGTACCAGTTATGCATACTATCTACCAGTTATGCAGTAGTGATAAAGATTTACTTGAATAAGACAGCAGTAGATGAGTTGTCTTCTGAGTTTATCTTCTGGCTCTGAGGTTGCAAAATAAACCAACACATAATTATAAAACATAAATACATAATTAAAAATTGTGATAAGGCAGCAAAGGGACAGAAGAGGGTGTTAAAAAAGAGTAATAGATTGAAGATAAATTAGCCAAAGACATTAGACAAAGATTGATATTTGAGCTGAGATCAGAAGGAAAGAGTTAGCAGATAATAAATAGAGGGTAAAAAAGTTCCAACCCACATGGAAGAAGCACACCAGCCTGTGTGACCACGAGCTGTCGAAGGGATCAGGTATCAAGCATCAAAGAACAAAAAATAATATCACTGTATAGGTGGGTGAGTGCAGAGTGGAGACTCAAAGCCCATCGGTAGGCAACTGGACACCTCCTTACTAAAGGGTTGTGGGGAGGAGATGAGCCAAACAGGGTACAGGGTAGCAACGATGGAACATATAACTTTCCTCTACTTCTTGAATGCTTCCTCCCCGCCGCTACCATGATTCCCAATTCTACCTTACAAATCTGGCTAGACCAGAGGATTTACATTGGTACAGACAGCAACTGGAAACACAGGGAATCCAGGACAGATGACTCCTTCAGGACCAGTGGTGAGAGGGGGCAATGCCTGGAGGGTGGAGGGAATGTGGGATAGAAAGGGGGAACCGATTACAAGAATCTACTTATAGCCTCCTCCCTGGGGGATGGAGAGCAGAGAAGAGGGGGGGGACGTCGGACAGTGTAACTTATGACAAAACAGTAATGATTTGTGAATTCTGGAGCATTCATAAGGGAGGGGGGAGTGGAGGGGAGGGGGGAAATTGGCAGCTGATATTAAGGGCTAGAGTAGAAGGTAAATGTTTTGAGAATGATGAGGGCTGCCGATGTACATGTGTGCTTGACACATGGATGTATGGATGGATTGTGATAAGAATTGTACGAGGCCCAAATAAAATAATTTTTTTAAATTTGCCCTTTCAGTTTTAAAACTCACTTTATTGTAATTGTACAACTCAAAATTGTGCAACTCAACATCTTTTTGTCTCTTTCTCTCTCGCTTAAAAAATAAAAGTCAACGTGGCAAAAAAAAAAAAAAAAAAGTTCCAAGCAGAGGACACAGCAAATGGGAAGGCCCTGGGGAGAAAGGGAAATGGTATAATGAATGAGCAACTATCAGCATCATTATCCTTTAATTTCATTTTTCTTTTTAAAAAAATCATTTTATTGGGGGCTCTTATAGCTCTTATTACAATCCATACATACATCTATTATGTCAAGAACATTTGTACATATGTTGCCATCATCATTTTCAAAACAATTTCTTTTTGCTTGAGCCCTTGTTATCAGCTCATTTCCCCCCTCCCCCACCCTCCCTCATGAACCCTTGATAATTTATAAATTATTTTTTTCATGTCTTACACCAACCACTGTCTCCCTTCACCCACTTTTCTGTTGTTTGTCCCCCTGGGAGGGGGTAATTCCATTTTTCTATGAACTATTTGGATCCCTCTTGTATGTGAACTAAATAATAACAAAATAGTATCTTTTCTGTAAATCCAAAACAAGCTGAAAGGTTTCAAATTAGAGATTGACATGTTCTGGATAATATTTTAAATATATTACTTTGGGTACTATGGATTGAATTGGAAATAGAAAAATTAAAAGCCTACTGCAGCCAGATATAAGATGGGTCAACTGAGGTGGTACCACTGGAAATAGAGGAAAATAGATTTGTGAGATATTTAGAATTAAAAGGATATAAAGGCTTGTGGAGAAGGGATAAAGAAGAATCAAGGGTGATTCCTAAATTTCTGTGGTGGTTGGGTCAAGTCATTCACTGAGATGAAGATGGGAATAGGAATTGGCTTTCAGGAGAAAATTAAGAGTTCAGGTTTGGACATATGAACGTGACCAGGCCTTAAGATATCTAAGTAGATAAGTCAAGTAGAGAGTTGTATATGCAACCTTAGGGAGAAATCTAGGTTTCAGATAAGAAGCATGAGTAAAAAGATATCACTAAAAGTCTTGAGAATTCTGAGTCAGAACAAAAAGCAAGAAAGGAAGAAGACCCATAACTGAGGCTCAAGGAACTACACGTTTAGAGTTTGAATAAAGGAGCAATTGCTTAACAGGTTTTGAGGTTCAAAAAAAAGATAAGGAAGCAGGGACACAATTGGGACTGTACCACACAAGTCTCAATATAAACTGAGAAGTAAGATGACTTTGAAAAGGATTCACTGAATAAAGCAAAATGGATATTGTTGGTAACCTTGATAGTTTTTGAAGGAGTAGTAGGGGAGAATGCAAGAAAATGAATAGAGAAGAGTAAATAGAGGCATTGGTGAGAGTATAAATTGATATAACCATTCTACAAAACAATTGGGCATTTTCTAGTAAAGTTCAATGATGCGGATAGTCAGTGCTACAATTCTAGGTAATGTTCAGGAGTAGTGATTCTCACAATGTCACCATGGAATCCTGGGCAGGGAGAGTCAAAACCATAATACTAGTAAGACAATTAGGTTTGGTTTGTTTTTTTTCCCCTAAAGCTCTAATTTAATCATGTAAAGGCTACATGACTTTACATGCAATGTAGCTGACAGCCTTAGCATGGTGATGTACTGGATTACCCGTTGGGATGCTAAACTGAAGATCAGCAATTCAAAACCACCAACACTTCTGAGGGAAAAAGGCTGCCTGCTACTGTAAAGATTTATAGCCTTAGAAACCCATATGCACAGGGCTCCTTTGTCTTATAGGTTCACTATGAGCCACAATTGACTCCATGACAGTGAGTTTAAGGTGTTTGTTTGTTTGCTGACATTGTGTTGAGTTCATATGTTGTTGTTACTGGTGGTGGCATTGAGTTGATTCTGACTCATGACTACCCTAAGCACAACTCAACGAAACATTGCATGGTCCTGTGTCATCCTTGCAATAGTTCTTATGCTTGAGCCCATTGTTGCAGCCACTGTGTCATTCCATCATGTTGAGGGTCTTCCTCTATTTTGCTGCCACACTACTTTATCAAGCATGATGTCCTTCTCCAGGTCCCTTCTGACAATATGTCCGAAGTATGTAAGACAAAGTGCTATCCTTGTCTCTAAGGAACACACTGGCCTTACTTATTCCAAGACAGATTTGCTTGTCCTTATGACATTCCATGGTACTTTCAATATTCTTCTGCAGCACCACAATGCACAAACACATCAATTCTTCTTTTATTGTCCTTATTCACTGTCCAAATTTTACATGCATACGAGGCAATTGAAAATATCATCGCTTGGGTCAGACGCAACTTAGTCCTCAAAGTAGCATCCGTGCTTTTTAACACTTTAAAGAGATCTTGTGCAGCAGATTTACCCAATGAAATGCATTCTTTTATCCCTTTACTGCTGTTTCCATGAGCATTGATTGTGGATCCAAGCAAGAAGAAACCCCTGACAGCTTCAAATTTTTCTCCATTTAGTGTGATGTTACCTATATTGGTCCAGTTGTGAGAATTTTATTCTTCTTTACATTGAACTGTAATCCATACTGAAGGCTACCATCCTTGATATTCATCAGCAGGGGCTTCAAGTCTTCTTCACTTGCAGTAAACAAGCTTGTGTCACATGCATATCATTATTGTTATTAAGCATTCCTTCAATCCTGATGACATTTTCTTCTTCATATAAGCCAGCTTCTTTGATGATTTGCTCAGCATGAATACTGAAAAAGTATAGTGAGTTGATGCACATTCCTGATTTTAAACCATGCAATATTCCCTTATTTTGTTTGCAGAGCTGCCTCTTCATCTATATACAAGTTCCACATGAGCACAATCAAGTGTTCTGTAATTCCCATTATTCTCAAGTTTGTATGATACATAGTTTGTTATGATCCATACAGTCAACCCCCCTGGCATAGTCAATAAAACACAAATGAACATTTTTCTGTTGTGCTCTACTTTCAGCCAAGATCTACCTGACATCTCCAACACTATCCCTTGTTCCATGATCTCTTCTGAATCCAGCCTGAACCTCTGGCATCTTCCTGTACATGTTGGATGATCTTTGGTAAAATTTTACTGGCATATAATGTGAGTAATATTGTTCTATAGTTTGAGCATTCTGTTGGGTCATGTTTCTGTGGAATAGGCACACATATGGATCTCTTCTAGTCAGTTGACCAAGTAGCTGTCTTCCAATTTTCCTGGCATAGATGAGTGAGTGCTTCCAGTGCTTCATCACCTTGTTCAAACATTTTCATTGGTATTCCATCAATTCCTGGAGTCTTGTTCTTGGATAATGTTTAAATGCAGCTTGAATTTCCTCCTTTAGCACCATTGGTTCTTGTTCATATGCTACCTCCTGAAACAGTGGAATGTCAACTAGTTCTTTTGGGTCCAGTGACTCTATGTATTCTTCCCATTTCCTTTTGAG